TTTTTTTGTATTTTGGATTTTTTCTTAAATACCAATCTAGGTCGAGGAGTATCGCAATAAGGAAGAGGGCAAAGATTATCCTGAGGGATTCTGGGAAGAATCTTTCAAGCACTTCACCGACAACAAACCATTCGGCTCAAGTAGCGTAGGGGTGTGTTACTACATGTTACTTACTTTTTGTTACTTCATGAACTATCTTTGATTGTGTGATTTTTAAGCCCTTCTATTGTATTCTCTCCAGGTAGACGTTTCATTTGTTGGATTCCGAAGTGCTTACGGCTTACCGGAGCATGCTGATTCCTTTGCCCTCAAGACCACTGTGGGAAACTCGGATCCATATCGGTAATTTGTTCTAAGATTTTATAATATGCACAATCCTGTTCATTAAGGCTTTACAATCTTGATGTTTTCGAGTACGAAATTGATAATCCGATGTCTCTCTACGTCGCTATCCCCTATATAGTGGCTCATAGAGAAAACTCCTCTATAGGAGCATTATGGTAGGTTATCTGACATTTTGTTGTTTTCTGGGAATAGTTGCAGATTTTGGTTATAATCTGCCTCGTCTTGCATTCTTTTTCAAGTTCTCCAGTCCAGTTGTCATGGCGCGCTCTTATCAGTTGTTGATTGGGTCTTATCACAGTTGTTCAAAGTGAAGATCTCAATGAATATGAAATGAATAATGCTCAGATTTCAAGATAGTAACATGAAAGTAAAAATTCTGAGAAGAGTGCGCTTTCGCATTTATGAAAGCACCTCCAAAATGCAGTTTATCTTATATATAAAGCTGAATACCCTTTAAGCGAAACTACAACGAGTTCGCGAGTTTCAGGCTCAACTCTGCTGAAACATGGATTGATACTAGCTCGTCAGCTTCGGTCAAAGGCTTCTTCCGAAGTGTCATAGATAAGGTAAGTTTTCCATCTATCGTCGCTGTTACCATTACCGCATGTGATTAGGTCTTTCAGGTTATGTCTAGCGAGAATGTCCCACATTTCGATGCACATTTTATGTCCGAAACAGGCCTCATTGACATATTCTTCTTTGGAGGCTCATCGCCAAGAGATCTGCAACGGCAGCTATCGAAAACCACCGGAGTAAGTGCTGTGCTATGCTCTTTCGTTTTCTTAGGCGTGATCTGGGTATTTAGGTCACACCACTACCTCCACTGTTTTCCCTTGCATATCATCAATGTCGCTGGAATTACAATGATGAGCAGGACGTGCAGCAGGTTAGGATGTGGTACCCTTTGATTGTGTTTTTTATCCGTTTTTTAAATCTCCTTTTCACACCTTTTATGATAACCGCCATATTTGCGCATCTGGACAGAGCTATATATTGTGTACACAGGTGAACGAGAATTTCGACGTATACGACATACCGATGGATGTGATATGGTTGGATATAGAGCACACTGATGGAAAGAAGTATTTCACTTGGGAACCACATAAGTTCGCTCATGCAAAGGAAATGATAGACAAAGTGGCAGCGAGGGTTAGCATCTACTGATTTATGGTTTTGTTTTCCTCTCAAAAGCTCTGTACAGGGTCGTAAGATGGTGACAATAATCGATCCCCATATCAAGAAGGATGACGACTACTATGTCTACAAAGAGGCAAAAGATTCTGGATATTTTGTGAAAAAAGCGGATGGCACAACCGATTTTGAAGGACATTGCTGGCCCGGAGCCAGCTCTTATCTGGATTTTCTGAATCCTGAGGTATATATTCAAGCTGCTTTTTTGCAATTTTTCAAGCATTTTTGCAAACTTAGTCATCTTTTTTGAACTTTTTTATATCTGACTTATGGCATTGACGAGCATGTATTTCCGATGTTATCGGAAAAAAGGCGATTTTGAGTTCTTGAGTTGAGAAATCAGCTTGAGAACTGGCTTGATAAGCACACACTTTTGCGAGGGTGCAGGAAAAGTACTGGAGATCACCATGCTCAGTTCCGATTTTGCATAGTGTTACCGTTGATACTTGTATTGCGCGATTTCAGTAAATTTATTGATTCCACAGCGATTGTTGCTTTATTTCGGTGAATTCAAATAATTTATCTTTATTTTGCAAGTTTTTTTT